TTTATTTTTTTTTTTTCCCCATATATAATATTGTCTGACCTCAGAGACTGTCTGAAGCATTTTTTCTGTTGGCTGTAGAATATGCAGAGCTTCCTCAATGTCTTGTAAGGCCCTCTGGCTGTTCTCCAGCACGAATGATAACTGCTGAATCCGCAGGATTTCAATTAGCAACCTGAAAAAATGAACAAACAAGATGAACAAACCCAGCGCTGAATTCATCTGTTAATGTTAAAGTCGATAAATAAACAGCTAGTGGCTCTTGTGGCTGACATACCTTGTTCTTATCAAGCACATGATGGTCTTTAATTGTAAAATGTTACTTGCCCCCTGCTGCTGGTCGTGTTCTTCCTCAGTGCAGCATCTGTCTGGACAGCCATCAGACTCCAGGAGCCTCTGAAACCTCATGGCCAGATTCAGCCAGTACCACGGATGGTAGGGATGAAGACAGCACAGCTGCTGCAGGCTGGAGATGCTGTTTGTCAGATCTCTGCAGTGTTCATGAACACTCAGCTCCAGCTGAAGGACACAGGTGAGGTGGCAGGTGTTGGATACTTCTGTCCTCTGTCAATAAACCAGTACCTCAGCAAAAGCATACATACAAGTTGTTGGAGTTAGTAATTTACTATATTTACCAGTTTCTCACAGGCATTTAGAGCCTCTTCTTTTTTGCCCAGGTGACAGCAGCATCGTGCGATCCCTTCCAGCACATCTCTCTTCACCGATATGTTTCCAGCAGGTATGAGAGGCCTGTCATTGACATAACTCACAAATCAGCTTATGAATCAGATAACAGTGAGAGATAATGGTGAATTCAGCTCTTTATACCTGAAACTGTTTCCTCACTGTTTCCTCCTGTAGGCCAGATCTCCTCGAAACTTCAGGGTTTTCTTTGTTCTTCTAATGGGTCCTCAACATTTCCATCTTCACAAAACCACTAGATAGAATAAAACAAAGGAAAAATATGACATGCCAGAAGACGTTATTTATTTACAGTGGTGGCCAAAATGATTAGAACACTAGTATTTTCACCTGCTAAAAAAGGTTTTAAGTCAGCTATTTCTGTCTTTTGTTGTAGTGTGTCAGTAGGAAATATCAGTTTACATTTCCAAACATTCATTTTGCCATTAATTGTAATCATCCTGTTAATTTTTTGTCTGACTACAGCCAGTGCTCCACACGGAGATCTGATCTGATCTGATCATCATCCAGTCTTTCTGGAATGACATGAAGAAACAGAACAAACTGTGACAGACTCAATCCAGAAGAACTGTGAGAAGGGTCTGGCTGCAGCCTTGCACTTGCACTCTCAGACTTGCACTCTCAGACACTTGCGCTTCCGCTAGCGACGTCACTTGCAGTCTTTATTTTTTTATTTTGTTCTATTTATTGATTACTTTTTGTTTGAATCTCTCAACATTTTACAACAGTAGCCAGGTGGTGAAGACAAGACAAAAGAAACTAAATTACGAAGTCACTTGCAATCGCCACTTGCACTCTCCGATACCTGCGACGTCACTTGCAATCGACACAAATCGTGCGTGTTGCCAATGGAGA